ATTCATCTAATATATGCATTTTTACGTTGGCAGGCTTTATTGTATACTTTTGGGTCATTTTGGTTGTTGTAGCAGTGATTATTTTTCGATATGTCCCACGCTATGGTCAAACCCATTTGATAGTTTACATTGGAATCTGCTCTCTTATGGGGTCGCTCACGGTCTGTTGATTACTTTCAAGACTTCTTCTTTTATTTTGATTTTAGTTGACCTCATCCAGCATATTCACGGATATTCGAACGGGAATATTTTGTACAAAGATACTTTAAACGTATGAAAACTTTAGGGGAAAATTAATATATCTTCATCAAATATATCCATATTCATTATTCGATACTCACTAGAATCTAAGTAACATGGATTTTAAACATGGCTTTAACAACACTTCTTGTAAACCTTTTTTCTCTTTTCATTCTCATAGGTAATGGGTGTTAAAGCAGTCGGAATCGCACTGAAGCTGTCGTTTGGAGGCATGAATCAATTTAAATACTACGAAACATGGATATTCACAATAATTGTGATCTTTTGCTGTCTTCTGCAAATAACTACTTGAACAAGGTAAGTGTTGAGACTTAGATTTCAATGCATATATCATATCTATCTTGTATGATACTCTTTCCTTTTTGTCAGTTGACACAAATACTTGCATATGTTTTCCTTTTTAATAGAAATCTTTTTGGGGGTTAAATTAATCTAATATGAAGGGTATGAATAGTCGGAGTAGCTTAAGTTAATCTAATATGATCACTTGAATTGCTGATAAACAATAGATTTGGTGGACAGAGGATGAGAATTTGTGCTGTCAACCCTCCATTTACCATTGGAAATGTGTTTTACTAGTTCTAACACTAATTATTTGGAATGCATTGCAAGTTACTCATTTTTAAGTTAGTTATAGGATACAAAGACTTCAAAAAGGTTCTTTCAAATCATATTTTTCAAACTTATATTCTTAATTTACATATGCTCGTTGGCCCTAGGTTCAAGTATTGTTTTTTTCTCTTGTTGCTACTAAAAGCTTAAGGTATTTTTGCAGGCTTTGGACACCTTTAACACTGCCGTTGTATGTCCTGTTTACTATGTCATGTTCACGACATTCACCATTATTGCCAGCATGATCATGTTTAAGGCAAGTTTTCTTAAAACATTCTTATACACTCTAACTATAAATGCGTCGAGCTTTAACGGACAGATCCCTGTTTATTTTTTAGCTTGTTCATATGATTATTATTTGAACGAACTTGTTAACATCAAATGAATATTCTCGCTAGTATGTTCGATTATTTTTCATGAACATCACGAACAAGTTACATTTAGTTTATGTGAACAAACTTGAATTATATTTTGGAACTCTAAACAAACAAAAACAAACAGTTCAAACTCGGTTCATTTACAACCATAATCTTTGTTTTTGTATAGAATAATGCCTTCTTTCTTCTTTGTTTTTTGGTTAAAAAAGGATTGGGATTCACAGGGTGGACAGAGATTTCAACAGAGTTATGTGGGTTTATTACAATTCTATCAGGAACATTCCTCCTCCATAAAACCAAAGATATGGGAAAAAGTTCAAGTGCAGACTCCCTGTTTATACGTCTCCCGATCCAACGCCAACCCCCAGTTCTAGATACTCAGTCCACAGGTTTGAAATTCGAAATCGGAATCTCAGATTTCTTGTTTCAGATGTTACTTTTAGTTTCATTCAAGGAAAAACTGGAAAAACAAAGGAGAATTAGGAGTTTGTTTGATTGAGGTTTATGAATAATTAAGACATGTTTTTTTTATTTGAAATTGGTGGATGTAAAGAGATTCTACATAAGTTAAGAAAAAAACTATATTTTTTTAGTTTCCTTCTGTTTATATGCTTATTTTTGTTTTTCTCATAACACTTTTATATGTTCATAATTATTGGAGTTTTATGACTTTTTACTATAATTTATGTGTTTATTTTACTCTAAACTAGAAAATCTTTAGAAAGGAAATTCGCATTCCTTATGATATCTATGTATCTATCACAACCAACTAAGAAGATTCCAACTTTTGTACTTATAATGACTAATTCCATGCAGTGATGAAGGGTAAAAAGACGTAGATATTTGCATGCAACGCCAAAGACCAAGACTGAAACTCCAACCAATAAAATTGAGAAGTCGATTAATTAGCGAAAATTCTCCATCTTTCAATGAACTCCAACAAAGTTTCAGTGTGGAAATTTCCACTCATTGTGCCCATCAATCTGTATCAAACAGCTAAGAAATTTGGTGTACTTTTGTCATTTGAATGACTTAAACAGAGTGGTAGGGTATTATTCTCATGCAGTGAAGACCGGGAAAGAAGACTTTGGACATTTCCATGCAGTGCCAAAGGCCAAGAATATGGCCAATACATTCTAGGGGATAAAAGAAAGGCTTAGTATCAAAATAAGTGTCCAAACTATACTGTTTTTTTCTCTCGAATAGATGACTAAATTATTTTGACTTGTCCACGTGCCTAACATTACAAATGTTACCACTTGTTCGGGCCGTCAACGGTGTTAATTTTTCTATTAAGTGACACGTATCACAATCTGGTATTTTGAAATTTATTTTTGTAAGAATATTAAAATTATTATGTTTATAAAAAATCCTACTCTTAAATTATAAAATAGCCTCAAAATTCCAAAAATCCCTAAATCCTAATCTTAACCCATTGCCGTTGCTCTTTCTGGCCACAACCACTACGGCCGATGTAACCACTGCCGCCGATGTAGTCTCTGTCATCCTCCTAGTCATATGCCGCCATAGTTATTGCCGATTGGCTGTCGGAATCGCGTGGGATCGAGATTTTCATCAAAGGGTTCGCGGGTATAAAACGTCGATTCGTCATTGATCGACTGTCAATCGATCACAATTTCATAGGAGTTTGGTCGCCAGGGAGAGGGGAGGTCGGGTGGAGCTTTGTTGACAGAAAAGAGCGATGACCGGTGTGGGTTTAGGGGTTGAAATGAAGATCTTTAAAGTTTTGAGTTTATTTCAAAATTTGTGTTTTCTTTTTTTAAAAATAAATAATTTTAATTTTTTAATTTTAAATAAAATTTTATCAAATTGTGACACGTCACTTAACAGAAAAATTAACACCATTGATAGCCCGAACAAGTGGTAACGTTTGTAACATTAGGCACCGGGATGATTTAAAAAATAGTTTAGGCACTTATTCATGAAGATAGGTATAATTTAGGCATTTTTTGGTATTAAGCCTAAAGAAAACAATATATTTATAATATCATAACGATTATCAACAAATAAATAAACACAATAGAAAAAGAAGACAAAAACAAAAAAAAAAAACCAAGATTTAGATGGAAAGCCTAAAAAGGAAAAATTACATACAAAAGAGAAGAATTTCATACAAGAGGATTTTAGATAAAGAAAAACCGATATCTAACTCTTATAATTAGAATCTATTTATTGGGATATATATTTGATTACAAAATAAATTAAATAAATAAAAAATTACTTTATAAGAAAGATACTTTAATAAAGTTCTCAACTTTTATAAAGGTTAGTCTCTCTTGATCTCTCTAATCAAGATGATTGCTACCAGAGAAATGAGGTTGATGATGATTCACCAACCCTGAAACTAGAAAAACCAAACTTCAAGACATTGATCAAGAATTTGAGGAATCTCACTGAGCTCCATTTGGATGGAGTGGACATTTCATTTCAAAGTAATAAATGGTGCAAAATCACATCTTTAGTACTTTCCAAGCTTCAAGTGTTGAGTCTGTCAAACTGTGGTTTACAGGGTCCATTATGTTCTTCACTTTCCAAAGTAAACAAATAACATTATATATACAATTCAACCTAATTATATCAAATCTCGATTAAATTTGAAATTAGCAGATTGAAATTATTTTTTTATGTTCCTTTCATACTGTTTTAATACAAATATATTAAAATTTATATTAATGCATACAATTTAAATAGAATCATAATATATATATTATAAAGAATTCAAAAATAATTATTTTTAAAATTTTTATATGAAGTGGCAAAATAGAAAATAACTAACGTCAACATTTTAAGATAAATAAAATAGTTGGCACCGACTTAACAAAATTATTATTCTGTTACTTTTAGTTAAATTGAAAAAAATATTATGAATTAAAAAGAACAAATATAAAAAATTGAGAGTTAAAATGATTAAATAGCTAAAGTTTAGGGGCTTAGAATAATTAATTTTAATTTTGTAACGTATATTTCAAGTCCATCTTTATGTCAGTATGGTTGACGATGACTTAATGAAGTGATACCACACTTTTCCATTAACGTCTATTTCGGACGTAAATCCGAAACTTACCGATAATAAAGTATTTAAGATAAATTATATATTTAGTATTTAAACGATCAATTTTAGTATCTAATATTTTAATTTTTTCAAAGCATACTTCATGTTTAGTTTTTGGTTCATTTTAGTATTATGTCGTTAAAAACATAACGGACGGGCTTACTGGTCGTTGCGTCTACGGTCGTCGACCGCTGCGTTCATCAAGCGATTAAGTCCAAACTTATTAGCCCGCATCTTTTCGACCCCTTGAACGTAATTCTGATCTCTGTTTCACCGAAAATGCCTCAATCTCCTCAAATTGATGATAGACTCTTCGACTTCTTCATCATTTGATCTTCGTTGATAACCGTTCGATGGGCCTGAAATTGAACTATGTTGATTGACTCGTCATTCTCTCGTGATCCATTGTTTGGATTGATCTTCCTTCCGCCGGAGCTATGTCTCATCAGCCCGTCTGTTAAGCTTTTAACGACAATATATTAAAATGAAATAAAGACTAAACATTAGGTGTGATTTTGAAAATTTTGAAAGTGTAGATACTTAAACAGACTAAAATTGATTGTTTAGGTACTAAATACATAGTTTACCCTAATTATTTACGTGACAGTTAACATGAAAGGATATAAATATATGCCCCCATGAATCCACCCTCATATAGCATCTCTCAACCCATTTTCTAATAGATCGCATGGGAAAGTTTTTTCTCATACTGTTCCTTCTTTCCCTTGTTCATTCTTCTCTTGGTTTGTCATCCTCTTCTCTTTATCCAACTCCTCTGTGTCCACCAGCTGACAGCTCGGCTTTAATCCGATTCAAAAACACTTTGTCCATTGATGATTCTGAATCATGTGATGGCACTTCTTATCCCAAAACAAAGTCGTGGAATGAAAGCACAGATTGTTGCACATGGTATGGTGTCACCTGTAATAAGGCAACTGGTCAGGTGATTAGCCTGGACCTTAGTTGCTCTAAGCTTGTTGGCTCTCTTTCTCCAAACACCACTCTTTTCCGCCTCGAAGGACTCCAACGACTCAACCTCGCCTACAACAGACTCAATGGTTCTTTGGGTTCGTCTGGGTTGAGCCAGTTAGTGAGTCTAACACATCTTAATCTTTCTGGTAATTCCTTCTCCGGTTTAGTTCCATCGGACATTTCTTTTCTATCGAAACTGATTTCACTTGATCTTTCTGAATTATTTGGCTTGAAATTTGATGACCACAGTTTCCGTATGCTTACGCGGAACTTGTCTAAATTAGAGAATCTTGCCCTTGTGGATGTAAACATGTCCGATGTTGTTGTTCCTACATCCTTTTTAAACATGTCTTCATCTCTAAAGCAACTGGATCTCAATGGTTGTCAGTTACAAGGGGAATTCCCTATTGAAATATTCCAGCTTCGGTACCTAGAGTATCTTGATCTTAGTGATAACAATTTGACGGGTTATCTCCCCAAGTCCAATTGGAGTAGTCCTCTCTGGTTGTTGGACCTTTCGTTTAATCATTTTAGAGGCTCAATTCCTGCATCTCTTGGAAACCTCCGCAGACATACTTTTATGGATTTCTCTAATTGTAATTTTAGTGGCGAACTTCCCTCGTCTTTGTTCAACCTCACACACCTAACTTCTTTAGATTTATCATCGAATAGGATACAAGGTCCCCTTCCGACTCATGTCAGCGGCCTTCAGAGTCTAGAAGTTTTGGGATTACATGATAACTTGCTCAGTGCTGCAATTCCATCTTGGCTTTTCACTCTGCCATTTGTAGAAACTCTAGACCTCAGCCATAATAGGTTCACTGCTCTTCCCGATCAGATTCAAGAGCCTATTACAGTCCAAGATGTTTCTTTGGCTCATAATGACATACATGGTGAAATACCAAGTTTCTTCTATGGTCTTGTAAATCTTGTCGAGCTTGATATTTCATCAAATAATTTCAGTGGTGTCATCAAGTTAGATGAGCTATCCAAACTGAAGATTCTCGAAGAGCTAGATCTTTCATCAAATAATTTCAGTGGTGTCATCAAGTTAGATGAGCTATCCAAACTGAAGATTCTCGAAGAGCTAGATCTTTCATCAAATAATTTCAGTGGTGTCATCAAGTTAGATGAGCTATCCAAACTGAAGAGTCTCGAAGAGCTTGATCTTTCATCAAATAATTTCAGTGGTGTCATCAAGTTAGATGAGCTATCCAAACTGAAGAGTCTCACACATCTTGATCTTTCAAATAACAAGTTGCTATCATGGAGTTGTGACAACGTTGTTAACTCTACTTTTCAAACGCTACAATATTTATCCATGTCTTCTTGCAACGTTGAGCGGTTCCCGAATGTTTTACGATCAGCAAAAAGCTTGACACTACTTGATCTCTCCAATAACAAAATTCAAGGTTCAATTTTAAAGTGGGAAACAGAGGGTTTAGAACAATTGCTCTTTCTAAATCTTTCTCACAACTTGTTGACTGGTTTCGAGCAATTTCCAGGGAAGAATCTTGAAATCCTCGATCTACGTTCCAACCAACTCCAAGGCCATCTCCCCTTTGATCTGCCATCCTCATTGGGAAGACTATCGATTTCTGGAACAATTGACAGAGAAATCCCTCCTTCAATTTGTAATTGAGTTCACTTTATGTTCTAGACTTGTCTAGAAATTACTTGACAGGAACCATTCCGGCTTGTGTTGGAAATTCAAGCTCTTACATCTCAACCATAAACCTACAAACGAATAGCTTGAGCGGCAAAATCCCTGACTTTTGCGTTCATGACAACGATTTGCAAGTTCTTTCCCTTGACGACAACCAATTGGAAGGGCCATTGCCACGATCCTTGATCAAATGTACTTCCTTGGCATTTTTAGATGTTGCAAATAATAATCTAAGTGACACCTTTCCCCACTGGTTGGGTGTTCTTCCAAATCTGCAAGTTTTAATCATGCGATCCAACGGTTTTCATGGTCCCTTGAAACGTTTCAGAACATGTTAAACATCCTTTGAATCATTGAAGATTGTTGATCTATCTAGCAATGAATTAACGGGTCCCTTGCCTTTGATTTTCTTCCAAAATCTGGACGCTCTCAAGGATGCAACAAACATGCAGCTGAATTCTTCTATCTCAAATAGAGGAATATACTCATTACATAATCGAGACAGGGAAGATGATGTGGTTTCTGTGAATCTAACGTCAAAAAATTAGAGATGGAGCTGCAGTTAGTAAGAGCTCTGGACTTTTACACTGCCATTGATTTTTCAAACAATCGAATCGCTGGAGAAATCCCCAACTCAATTGGAGAGCTTTGTGCAACTCAAGTGCTCAACTGGTCTCACAATGGATTCATCGTCATTTCCACCGTCGTTGGGGAAATTAGTAGCACTTCAATCGTTGGATCTTTCATCAAACAAGCTCAGCGGTGAGATTCCATCCCAGTTGACAAACCTGACGTTTCTTGAAGTGTTAAACTTGTCGCACAACAGTCTCGTGGGACACGTCCCCAATGGAAACAATTCAACACCTTTGAGAATGATTCCTACACCGGAACTTGGGATGTGTGGCTTCCCATGACAAAGCAAGGCGGCAATGTCCCGGGACCGAAACAGGCTGCACGAAGTCAAAGGAAGATGGTGGTTCAGCAGTGAGTTGTTTTGGAAACTTGTAATGAGGGGATACGGAAGTGGAGTTGTGTTAGGAATAAGCACAGCCTACATTGGTGTTCACCACTGGAAGGCCATGGTGGTTGGTGAGAATCGTGGAAAGAGATCTGCAAAGGATTGTTACAAGGTGGGTTCGTAGAATCCAAGGAAAACAAAACATCCACTGAATGACAAATTCCAAGGTGCGTTTTTTTAACTATCTATTACTTATCGTTGATTTTGTAGTCTAGAAATTATGCTTATTCTTTTCCCGACCAATGTTCATATATAGCGGTTGGAACTGAAGCTGGGGGAAGATGCACCGTTGCTTGCTGTGGAAAGAATCGGCTAGAAAGAGCTTGTTTTCTGGGTTCATTCTCTGTGTTTTTGGAAGATAAGTTGCATGTTTGTTGTTCAATTGATCATATGAGTGTCTGCACTTGTAAACTATAGTATTTATGTTTTAGCTTCGTTGTGAGACGATGTGTGTTGTTTTATTCAGTGTTTCTTTTCATTTTCTTGTTTGTAAAAGCTACGTCTTTTGGTGTGTTTTCTTCGCACTTCTTGAGTTTAAAACTACATTTAATGGAAAATGAAACCATTGTCTATCTACCCTTTAGTGAATTTATTTAATATTTGTATTTTAAATCAAATATTAAAATTTATATGTTATCTACCTAGAGAGGAAGAATGTAATTTGGTGGGAACCAAATCTCTTCTTTACCTCCCAATTTCTTGGAAATCTCCTCTTGCCTAGTTTCTCTTAGGGTCGGTATATTTCACTGAAAATGTTTTTTGTAAAATAAATTATATTTTCGGAAAAATATTTTCTGGAAAACGTTTTTCAATGTTTGTAAGATGTTGTTTAAACTCTTTTTCCCCTAGTTGATGATTTTTTAAAAAAAATTATTTATTACAAATTAAATACAAAATAATATATATTATCATAAAATTTAATATTATTATTATTTTTAAAATAATAAAATAATATATTTATTATTTTAGTAATTTTATTAATAAAAATATTATTATTGGTATATTTTATTGAAATAAAAATATTATAATTTATATGAATTATTTATTAAAGTAATAATGTATATTTATTTATTAAAAATATTTTAAAAATATTATAAATTAGTATATTTATTAGATCCCATTGATCTTTCAAAACAACTTCGCTTAAGTGATGCAAACTTCTCTTTTCCAATGCTGAGGGAATTATATCTGAGATCATGTAACATAAGTGCATTTCCAGAGTTCTTAAGGAGTCGAGAAAATTTAGAAGAGCTAGACGTTTCAAATATCAGGATAAGTGGTGCAATACCAAACTGGGTGTGGAAGAAAAGTTTGCTTACTCTAAGTCTTCCTAATGCACCCGGCTTGAAGTCTTGGATGTGGGAATCAACATGCTGCGTGATACATTCCCCTTTTGGTTGGAGAAATTGCCTGCGTTGATTGTTCTATTATTGCGGGAAAACAGATTTTATGGTCAACATAAAATTGTTTTTCCGACTTTGGATGCCTTGGACATTGCTTCTAACGAGTTTTCAGGTGAACTATCCGTTGATTTCTTTCGAGCCAGTCAGCTAAGGTCGCTCAAAATCAGAGGGAACAAATTTGAAGGGAAGCTGCCAAAATCATTAGCCACTTGCTCAAAACTTGAAGTTTTGGACCTTGGAAACAATATGGTTCATGATACATTCCCCATCTGGTTGATGTTATTGCCTTCCTTGAAGGTTTTCATTCTCCGAGAAAATAGGTTTTGTGGTACAATTGAAGACATCGACACTGGACATGATTTTTAAAACCTGTGCATACTGGACATCGCTTCCGACAATTTTTCAGGTAGGGATGACAAGCAGGTACAATTTCGTGGATTTCGCACCGCACCCGCTCCAATTGGGGCGGGGATGGGTATAATTTTAGTGGGTAGTGGGCGAGTGTGGATTTAGAAAGTGGTACCATTCGCGGGTAGTGGGCGGGTAATGGGTTTGAGACCTTACCCGCCCCGCATCCACCCGCCCCGCATCCGCCCGCCCCACATCCACCCGCCCCGCATCCGCCCGCCTCACATCCGCCCGCCCAACTAAATATCTATTAAATTTTGGACCATTATGAATTTAGGTGTAATTTTAAGAGATTAATTTATAAATCCTAATATTGTATAAGATATAACTTGTAATTTAACCAAATATTAGGGATAAGTTTATGAATAAATTTTTTTCTTTCAAACCTCTTGTCTTCACTCTCCAGCTTATTCAGATATGTTTCTTCCATTTTTACTTGAAATTTAATTTTTGTAAGAGTCAATTCCGTAGTCATTTCGTTTTAAGCTCATCTGCATTTCATTTTAAGAGTTTAATTTTTATTTGCTCGTACTGATTTTTAATTATTTTTTAGATTCATCTTAATGTTTGTTTTAAGCTTAATTTCTTAATGTTCTACAAATCAGTATCTTGTGACTGAGCACCCACGTTTTTTGCTAACAGAGTCAGATCGTTGCTTCTCAAATCTCTATTTTTAACGCCACTGAATAGAATTAGGTGTTTCACTTATGCTTCTCAAACCTCCATTTTTAACGCCATTGAAACTGACTTTTTCAAATTCAAATTTCAACCGAGTATTTTGCAATATTGGTGTTTTATGGTGTTTATGAGAATGATGATTGTAATACTGGAGTATTAGATGTCACAAGTATTGCTTGAAATTTTAGAATGTTGTGCCAAAGAACAAAAACATTATGTGTTTGTCATTTATGTTTCTAGACTTTAATTATGTCTTTTATTATGATCTTTTATGTACTTTAAGATCTATATTAACACTTAACTCAGATAATCATTGATTTATTTTATTATGTTTCTTAATAGATGTGTTTGTTTTATGTTTGTTGCTTATGTATAACTTAAGTTTGTTGTCAGACGGGTCTAGCCGGGTACGTCTCCAGTGGGTAGTGGGTGTGGATTTGAGAATGTACCCGCGTGGGCGGGTGTGGATTTAAAATTTTTTACCCATCATGGGTGGTGGGCGGGTGGTAGATTAAAAAATATTAGATGGGTATGGGGATGGGGGAGGGGGTATCCGCACCCGACCCGCCTGTTTGCCATCCCTATTTTCAGGTGACTTGTCGGTCGAAATTTTCCAAAATTTGAAGGCTATGATAGAGATGAGCAATGACAACAAAGCTGAGTTGGAGTACATCGGAGGGCAGTACTATGAAGACTCTATTACAAGTGTCAACAAAGGGGTTGAAATATTTTACCAGAAAGTCTTGACCATTCTTACTTGTCTTGACCTTTCCAACAATAGTTTCCATGGGAGGATACCCGAAGACATACAAATTCTGGGGTCAGTCAAAGTGCTAAACTTGTCCCATAATAGTTTCTCTGGGGGAATACCATCAGCACTTGAGAACCTAAAAGAGCTCGAGTCTTTGGATCTCTCAACGAACAACCTGTCCCTTACCGGCTTATAGGTCTAACTTTCCTTGCAGCATTGAACTTGTCTTACAACCAACTTGAAGGGAGCACTTGAGAACCTAAATGCTTCAATCAAACCACTAGTTATTAATCTTTTACGGACGTGTTGACGTGGCAGTTAAAAAAATTGACATAATTATATATTTGGTCCTTAATACTTAGATATTCTATCAATTTAGTCATTATTTTAACTGAGGATTAATTTAATTAATTATAATATTTCAATTAAATAAATTTTCTCACCAATCGGGAGGTGGCACATGTCACTGCCTATGTAAAGGGAAAACAAATTAGAAAGAAGAGCTACTCTCCTGGTCCATGGTTCAAATCCCTCAAGTAGCAGCTCTTCTTTCTAATTTGTTTTCCCTTTACACATGTGGTGACATGTGTCACCACCTGATTAGTGAGAAAATTTATTTAATTAAAATATTATAATTAATTAAATTAACACTCTAATCATATACTGACACGTGTCACTTGAAAACATGTCATAATAATCTGTTGACAAGTGGCACATC